CTCTCTCTCTCTCTCTCTTCCTCGTCCTTTTCCTCCTTCCTCTCTACACCACCCCGTTTCACCCTCAACCCCTCGTAGTTTATCTCTGTCTCTCTTCGATCCTCAAACACGCACACCCTCTGTTCTCTCGCCTTCTCTCTTTACCTCTCTCTCTCTCTCTCTTTTTCTCTCTCTTCCTCTCTTTCGCCACATCTGCATCCATTCTGCTCATCTCTCACTCTCTCTTCTTCCTCGTTTCTGTTCTCTTCTCTTTCTCTGCCTATTAGTTTCTTAAAAATTCTCGGTCAACTCAAATTTACAGTCACGATTGAATTGGTCTGGCGATGAAACACCTTTAAACTTTCGTGAATTGATTATGACAAATGGTTGTGAAACAGATAACTCGCAAGCCAATATTTTCTTCGTGGCAAACATAGCAAGCACATATACGATATAGAAACCAATAGAGATTTGTAGGTATATATATTGGATATCCACCCAGATAGCCAAGTCAGTTGAAAACAGATTTTTCAAACTATCTGCTGCTGCAAGCTTTGTCGGCAGAAAAATGACAGAATTGATGTAGGATCTGTCACATTCAATGTTATTGAATTTTACACAGTATTCTCTTGTTATGTTTCAGATAAAACGTATGTTTATACAACAGCAAAGAATAACAATGGCATTTGTTAGTTGCAAATTGTTGCAAAAATAGATATTGTATTTATATTTTAATATCCAAAGGAACATTTTAATGTCTGAGGAAATTTCAAAATATATTCAGTGAATATCTGCACGATACGAAAGTATTATGTAATAATATATGATAAAAGATCTGTTTTCTTCATGCAAAACTTTTGCAGTGCGGAATAAAATAGATTGGCTTATTCCACAAATGTACGAACAAAAATATCACTACTGTGATTCTACATTAATATAATATTAGAATTTTATATGTGAATCAAAAGTTAAAATGATTTATTTTATTCATTTCTTGTTTTTAATTAATAAGATTTTTTTACGACGTATAAAAAATTTTGACGATGTATTTTAATATATTAAAAAAACAAATACGATGCTTCAACTTCCAATACTTCTTTTTCTGTCAAAACCTCTTATCTATAAATAGAGATATAGCATAGTGATTTTTTATATATGTATTATAGAATATGCACAGAACAAAATTTAATTATTGGCATTGTTATTCATTTGCATCTATACAAAACTTACAGTTTACGAGAAAATCCTTAGCTTTAATTATACTTGATCCAAAATTGTCGTCACATGTTTAAGTCGAGAGAATTTTAAATTAACCGAAAAATCTTACATACATTAATATAAAATATATAAAATTTATATTTGTACATTGATATGCAATAAAATAAATTAAATGATAGTCACAACTTTAAAAAAGAGACGTCACATGCGATCTCGGGAGAAAGTGAGAAACTCAATGAGCTCAGGAGTCGAATGAAGTAATCCACACGTTTATTCCACGTGGCAAAGAAGCGAAATAATCGAATTAGCCGACTTTTCGCAGGGATTTTGGACGAAAACGAAACGAGAGCCCGCTCAAAGAGAGCGGCCGTCCGTACGGAGCAACTCGCGTAACACGCAAGCTCCGCGGAAAAACGTCGATAAGCGTTGTGCGTCCTCGCCGACCAAGTCGAGAGCAACCGGGTCGAGAACAGAGGGTGGATCGAAGTCGATCGAGTCCGCGTACGGGGAAAATCCACCGCTGACCGAATCGATCGACCACCACGTCGAAGACAGGTAAAAACGAGTTCGTCACCTGCGTTTCAAAGCTTGAGAACAACGCTGCGGAGATCCGAAGTCCCGGTCCTAGGTTATGACAGCCTAATCTGGAGCTCCATCTACCCCACGGGGTGACTACCCTCTCTTCGTTTGCGAGATGCCCGCCGATAGTCACGGGCGGCGAGTGCCCCGCAGGGGATCGCTTAAAATTGCCGACGAGAAGCACGGAGGTGCTGTGTTTCGCGATCCGGTAGAAACGATCGTAGCAATTTTCCCTATAACATTGTAGAAACGTATGCCCAATTCCAGCGATAGATAATTTATCGTAGATACGTGTACATCTCTAAATATCTCTAAACATAGGTTTGTCTCGTTTTTCTTTCCGCAAGAGAAGTCGTGAACGAAAATATAGATATACGATGCAAGGGGTTTTGCGAATGCAAATCGTGTCGTTGTGCAGAATGTTAACACACTTGTACGCAGCCAATCTCCGCCGGCAACACATCGCTACATGGTCAACTCGTTAGTGTCAAATCCGTAAGCTTATCCGCGCACCCGGCGTAGATAGGAGATTCTTGCCAGTCCCAACGATGCGAAGGAGAATATCGAGTAGTTGCAGGTCCCCTGTAAGGCGACACAGGTACATATGGGCTCTCCGTTGAATGGACCAAATGATATAAATTATTTATAGATTTCGACACCAGAGAGACAGAAAGACAGGCGGGCGCGGAGGGTGTTCGAATTGGGGTGCGGCGAGACCCTAGGGGGTCCGCTCACGCATCGGAAACCTCTCGGGGGGCCTTCCCCCCTGCAGCATATGCATTCTCGCTTCGAGACCACCGTAAGCCTATAGAAAATTGATTCCTAAGTACCCCGTATTCGTGTCGGCGTCTCGTGCGTCTTTTAACACCTACATCAGTATTTGTTCTCCGCGTTCTCGCAAATACTTTGCGTTCAAGAAGTGATGAATGTTGCGTTTGACGTTAACCCCCGATCACATTATTTTGTCTTCAGATAATGAAATAAATATTTAATATTTTTTAGTATGCATAAAATAAAAGCATAAAAATTTTCAATTGTGCTATTCGCTATTCTTGACCAAACATCGAAATAAAAAGTTAAGTATTGAGAATTAACCATTTTGAGAATGCGGGAATTTTACTGAATATTTCGACCGTGTATTTAATGCTAAATGAGGGCAATATATTTTATTTTATTTTCAGATTGCATTCTATATTAACACAAAAATCTCAGATACGTGTATTTGTAGACATATAAACTTTTGTATAACGTTTTAAATTTGCAATTATTAAATGTATGGTACATTTTATCCTTAAACATTTGCGTATATTGAATAAAATTTAATGTTATTAACTTCTACTGGTCATAATATTGTCCTATATAATCGTACGATATGTTATATCGAGTACTTTTGAGTTTTCGAGCGCGGTCTTGTAACAAATCACGACGGGCCCGCGATCGCGCAGCACACCCCCCGGGGTCCAATCTAAATCAATGGGCTTGTGGGTAATCGCATAATAATTACTGGGACTCCCTCTACCGCCCATCTGTCGCTGACCGACAGGGTGTCCGACCCTTAGAAAAAGCAGTAGGTACTCTACCACGGCGACACACCCGATGAACATGTCCCAGCAGGTCCCATTGTCGATAGGCACAGTTCGGAATGTCGTGAATGCCCCTCGATAGTCACCACTCTTTCCAAACTTACTTTTGATCATGAAAACCATCGCGGAATAAATGCAATTCATAAATTGATATCTTGCTTAAATTTTTGATTTTATAAATCGTTTGTTAAAATTTTGTATTTATATATAAATATTTAATATGAAATCTAATTATATCTTCTTTTATTATAATACCATTTAGCGGTACAATATTTTGTGAAAAGAGAATTTGAAATTGTATACGTTGCTAAAGACACGAAAAAGCATTCCTATAATAAGTTATAAATTCAAATATTTCAGCAGCTAAACTTTCGATATTAGGCGAACATAATTTAGCAAAATAAGTTAAATTTTAATTATCAGTTTATTTCAATTGTATTCGATGAAACACATTCAGCGCTTTATATATATGATGTATTATTTTTTAACTTGTATTTAAATATTTACAATATGATAATTTATTTCAGATAACGAAATGGGGACAATATTTTTAATTAGTTTGTGGCTCGGCCTAACAAGTGGCCACTTTCGTGGACCACATCATCCTAGGAGCAGCGTATCCCATCATCATTATACACCACAAAATGAAGTCAAATTAACGCAGGATTCCGAACTCCTTCACGATGCCACGTAAGTTGAAAAACAAATAATAAATATTATTCAAGTAAATTGTAATTAATATAATACTTATTTGTATATAAAATAATTTGATATAGATAATTATACATCTTCCTGAAATATTTCATATTTTAGTAAACTGCTAATTACAGTAATATTCGAGTATTGAAATATTTTCAATGTAACTCTCACAAATAAAAATCCATGACTTTATTTCACAATTTCAGGCATTTAAAAGAAGACATGGGACCTATGGCCGATCAACTTAATTTTTCAACAATGACTGAGCATGAAATAGAATTTCATTATTTTAAGTATGTTTAAGATATCGGAATTTGCTTCTCTTATACAGGAAATTATCAAACTGTTTGCAGTTACTAATTTATTTTGAATTTGTAGAATTCATGATTTCGACAATAATACGAAACTAGATGGATTAGAGTTTCTCCATGCTCTTCAGCATACTTTCCATGAGAGTAACTTTGCCGAAAATGATGACGAAAATGACGATGTGATGCAGTCAAAACCAGATTTATCTTGGATTGTTGGTATGTATGTCTGCTGAATTAAATTGATATGATATAAAAAAATATAAGCACGCACATATACATTTAATGCAATAAAAAAGTATTCAATTTTTTCTTTTTTTTAGAACTGATAGACAGAGTGTTGGAAGAGGATGATTTAAACAACGACGGATATTTAGAATATCTCGAATATGTATTGGGAAGAGAAAGAGATCATACTGCACAAGAGAAACGTAACAAATTTAAAATCGGAACGTAAGAAAAACTTTATTTAAATAGAAATATACAAACTTGCATTGTGCATACAAAGAAGAAATACGATCAAAAGAAATATGAAATAAATTATAAGAGGTAATATGAATAATGCACAAAATTGACGTTCTATTATATTATGTCATATATGTGCTTAATTACTATATATAATTTTTTATTACACATTAATCATATGAAAAATAAAAGATTATATATATTATTTATATAGTAGTAAAACACAATACTTACATTTTCCTTGATAAAATCATATTTGGAATTTCACGGACTTCATATGACTTCTTTTATTTTGATGATGTTTTTAATTGAATTTGACATGAGAAAATCTGCAGAAAATCATTAATTAAATGCTAATGATCCAAGAAGGCTAAAATATATTTGCTTCAAGTGAACTTAATGATTATATGTAATTGACAGTCTGAAAATATATGTTCAGTGTGACGAAAATGATCAAAATAGAACAATAATCAAGAATTTAGAATATTTTATCTTTGTCAAAATGCAGCTATATCATTTATTCTTCAATACTATTTAAATTATATTTATCAGTATATGATTTTATTACGTGCCATCATTTTATTTGTTATTTTTACATTGTATTAGGAATATAAATTTCTCGAAATTACGGGATAAATTAGAAAAGAGATACCTCGGGGCACTAACAAATGTGCTCTGTACTGATTGACCAGTGCCTATGTCTACCGGAAATAGCGATTCTATCGCCATCTAGAGACTGAGAGCCACAAAATGTAAAGGTGTATTCACAGTAACTTGCATAATTATAGGAGCTCTTTATTTTTTCAAGTGGGGTAAGTCTAAAATTATAGTGGCAAAAACAACTAAAATAATTTAAATATTTTAAGATTAATTAAAAAAATTTTTAATGTTTTTATATTTTTTTTAAATTTAATATTTTACAAACCAATTTTATCAATTGCGCTAATCAAAGTTGACAACGCATTATTTGATATTTGCGTAAAATTAAACAAAAACTTATTTTATGTATTTTATTTTTGCGGATATATACTATACGTCGATGAAGAATTTATCTTTTTTAATTTAAAAGCGTTCTTTATCTTATATATTTTATATTTAAAGCGCGCGTTATCTATCATATATCTTGTATCAAAGATAACTGGTGATAGCAATGTAACAATAAACTGCAAGTTTCGAGTTAAGTTACTCATGACAATTACATATTATTGATTCGTGCAGTGACATAAAACGTAGTACATTGTTTTATTAACATTTAATAATTACTTAAAATTTATTTACTAATAAAGTAGTTGTGAAATTGTATATAGGTAAGAATAAAATAGATGGACTACATTGAAGTGATTATATTGAAGTGATTATAGAAACAATGGGTAATTATACATAACACACTTATAAGATAATTCAGGGAATTTGTTTTTATTTATAATAAAATTATTATTATAGGTGTTAAATGCTCGATTTGCACAAAGAAACGATTTGTACAAATAAAAAAAACTGTAATCTGTAGAAAAAGAGCACAATTGCCTTATAAATCACTCAATGAAGAATATGAAAATGTAAATCCAACATTTTCCATAGAAGAGAATAGTGAAGAGAAAAATTCCATAGAAGAGAATAATTTCAGAGAAGAGAATAATGAAGAGAAAAATTCCATAGAAGAGAATAATGAAGAGAAAAATTCCATAGAAGAGAATAATGAAGAGAAAAATTCCAGAGAAGAGAATAATGAAAAGAAAAATTCCAGAGAAGAGAATAATGAAGAGAAAAATTCCATAGAAGAGAATAATGAAGAGAAAAATTTCATAGAAAACCAAAATTTCATAAAAGAGAGTAATACGACTGTTATTATACCATCTAAATTTATTACAATAAATGATTTTATTACAAGATGGGTTTTATGGAAGGATGAATTTTTCATCTACGTGAAGGACATGGACCAAGCAGAAGCTAATAAGCAGACGTGGGGTATTATGCTTTTAAATCTTATGGGCCCTGTTGGTCAAGAAATACACAGAACATTTCGCTTCTATGATGACAATCCAAAAGAAGATATAAATGTATTGATCAAAAAATTTGATATTTATTGGCTGTATGGAAATAGGAAAAAAAGAGATAATGAAAATATCGATATATATGTAAATAAATTAAAGGTATGTTGATAAGATATTTTATTTATCAAGTGAAAATACTTTGATCTACTTTTTTATATCATCATAAACATCGTGATTTATTTTTTTTATTTGCAAATAAGATCTAGTCGATAATTAATAAATAATTTTCCTGCTTAAAATAATTCAGCATAGTAAATATTTAACAAATAATACATTTCCACATTTCCACGATTATACGAATACAATTTTTATAATTATTCCTAACAGCACGCTGCACTTGTACGGAATTATACTGATCCTGCGAGCATAATGAAAGAGAAAATAATACAAGATATCAAAACTCAACGGTTCGTAGGAGAAGCTGCATACTTCATAGAACGTCGAGGAAAAAATCTGATATCATATTTACGAACGTTAGATATCAACGATGTTATTCTTTTTTGGAAACAATGTGAAGATTTAATGCCACAAAAAGATTGCGAAGATTTAATGTTACAAAAATCTTTAACGAAATCTTTAACAGAACTACAAAAAAGTTGCGAAGATTTAATACCACGAAAAGATTTAACGAAATCTTTAACAGAACTACAAAAAGATTGCGAAGATTTAATGCCACAAAAAGGTTGTGAAGATTTAATATTACAAAAATCTTTAACGAAATCTTTAATGGAACTACAAAAAAGTTGCGAAGATTTAATACCACGAAAAGGTTTAACGAAATCTTTAACAGAACTACGAAAAGATTGCGAAGATTTAATGCCACAAAAAGGTTGCGAAGATTTAATATTACAAAAATCTTTAACGAAATCTTTAACGGAACTACAGAAAGGTTGCGAAGATTTAATGTCACAAAAAAATTGCGAAGAAGCACTGCAACAAAACTCTTCCCATGTTATCTCTAATATAATCGAATGTACTCGATGTGGTAAAAAACATAACCGGAATCAATGTCCAGCTTGGGGTATACAATGCAGTGTATGCAGACAATTTGGCCACTTCACAAACAATTGTAAAGTTAAATATGTAGATGATTGTACTAAATGCGGAACGCGTCATATTCTATCACGTTGCCCAGCATTTGGTGAGTTGTGTACAAAATGTGGCAAAAAGAATCATTTCACATGGAAATGCTTATTTTCTTTTGAAAACGATTATTCAAGATGCAATATAAAGCGCAATGAATTAGAAACAAACAAACAAACAAAGAAACAAACATATCGCCGACGTCGTCGTAATAGACCAAAAAACTTAAAAATAACTTCTGTGAATCAGGTGGACAATAAAACAAACAATTAATTTGTTGCTTTTACATTTTATGTAAAATGTATTTATTAGTTTAATAATTACTCAAAATAATTCAAGATAAGTTTTTTTTTAAATAAATTTAAATTTATTAATTTTTATATATATTTTTCTTATTTTTAGATACTCTAGTTTTTTAAAATTTATTTATCTTTTTCTCGCATCTTTTATATATTATATAGAAAGTTTTTTTCACTTTAATGTGAATGTTATGTTTACTTTATAAAACAGAAGAATCTTTAAATTAATGAACTACAAATAAGTGATCATCTTACTGCAATGGAAAGAATGTTTTTTGTATTGAAACCAAGGTTGAAGAGTCCCAATGCACATACAAACCGGCGAAGAAAGTCGGAAATACAAAAATTTATCAAGTAATTAAGCTATTAAAATGTGTATTTGTTTTCTATTATTCTTATTTTAAGATTGGGTCTATAGTTCTCTGTATGTGTATAGTTTTATGAATTAATTATAGTGATTGTTATGTAGTAAATATTTATCGTATAATACATATAAATTGAATGTAAACTTGTTTTATAATTTAGGCATTGTAAAGTCAGTATGTTATCAAAAATAATAAATAATTTTTAGAACACTGCTTTGAAACCATGTAAGGATTCTTTTCGAAAATCCTTAGATTCAATGTGAACAACTTTAACATGATTTACAAGACCAGAGAATAGCATAAATACTTTAAAAAAGAAATAGGTATATATTTTGATGATATTGAAGTTACATTCTATTTTGTACAATACCGCGCCTATGCAAGCGCCACGAAGATCATAGAATACAACAAGAAGTTATTCGGAAACTTTGGGCGGTATTCATAGTCCCTTCTTATATTCAAAATCGTCTTAAGCACGGACTTATATTCGCTCTCTTCGTCAGACACAATCTATGTGTGACGAAGAGAGCGAATATAAGTCCGTGCTTAAGACGATCTTAAATATAAGAACGGACTATGAATACCGACCTATGAATACCGGCCTTTGAAACATAATGCGCCCTCTACTAAAGTGATCAACGCACTATTAAAACATAAAGTTCAGTCGGTAAAATAAATAGTGACTCAACTACACTGCATTACTAAACGAGTTGGACATAAAGATGGCGTGTTAAGTACCTCCTCCCTTTAGTTATTTCTTTCCTTTTCCTTCATGGTCTGTTTCACGTCGCCATCTTAAAGTGCAGTGTCATCGGCGGGCTTCGTGTTGCTTCGTGTCAGTACTCGTGAGCAAGGTGAAGAATTTGTTGGTCGCGTTAAACAGCAATTTTTTTATATCAGCAAATATGTCTAGTGGAGCGCTTTTTGGTAATAATACTTCGCGCAGCACCTCGAAAAATCTTGTAGAGTTTAAAGCTGGCAAAATGACCATGAAAGGAAAGATGGTTTATCCAGACACTCGAAAGGGCCAGCTTTATGTCTGTCAGTCTGAAGACTCGTTAATGCATTTCTGCTGGAAGGATCGCACAACCGGAGTAATCGAAGATGTACGAATTTTTATTCTCTACAAAAATTTTTGTAGATAGAAAAACTGCAAGACGTGTTCTTCTTGTTCAATCTTATTTATCCAAAAATGCTTTTATTAATTTTATTTTATTATATATCTGCAGTTATAATTAATATATATTTCTAATTGAGTATGTTTTTCAGGACCTGATTATCTTCCCTGATGATTGTGAATTTAAACATGTTCCTCAATGCAAGACTGGCAGAGTGTATCTTTTAAGATTCAAATCATCCAGTAAAAAATTCTTCTTTTGGCTACAGGTAAGAAATAAAATTTTTTAATATATTATAAAAACTGGAATTACTGTTAAACTGGAATCTATTAATTTACATTAGATTATATTGTTTTAATTTTAAAATTTAAAATATCTTGTAAAGATATATTTAGTTTACAATGTAATATTCTTTATTTTGCAATCTACTATTGTTAAAACAATATTGTTAAATATATACGGTAGAAGAGCTTCAAGAGTTGAAGTTAGTGTAAAAATTTTATTTTCTTATAGAAATTAATTTGTCTACATTAGAGACAGTTGACCTTTTCATTGTTTTATTTAATATTGTTAACATTATTTTATAAAATGTATATCTTTTTATTATAGGATCTTAAAACAGATAAAGATGAGGAACTCTGCAGAAAGATTAACGATGTACTTAATAATCCACCGACTCCTGGATCCCAAAGAGGTGGTGGTGCTAATGCAGAGGGAGATCTTCAGAATTTATTAAATAATATGTCACAGCAACAGCTCATACAGTTATTTGGTGGTGTTGGTCAAATTGGTGGCCTGGGTAGTTTATTAGGTACAATGAATAGACCGCATGGTGTTCAAAGCACAAGAGCTTCCACCACGACTACATCCACTCCAGCCACTACGAATATAGCCAGACCGCCCCATTCGCTCACTCCTGGACCTAATACAGACTCCAAATCTTCAAGTAAGTTAACCAAATAAGTTTAATCAAATATCCTACAGCATACTCTAATGACATACTATTTAGGTAATAATAAATCATCTGCGAGAACACCAGCTCCGTCCACGCCAGCCACGACGGCAACAACTGCTAACAACAGAATACAGCTTAGTGATTTGCAAAATTTTCTATCAGAAATTCCAACACCACCTCGGGCAGAACCAGCTGTTCAGGTAATGTCATCATTTCTTTATATCTATTATTAAATTTATCTTACCACATACATATATTCTGACAACTTTTGACTTTGATTGGAGAATAATCAAATTTGCTAACAAATTGAATGATATTGTGTCAATGGATAATATTATATACAAAGTATGATATAATGTAATATTTTTTTAAATTATAACACAAACTAGTTTTGAATTAGCATGAAATAATTAAAGGATAGAAACTAATAGAAATATTTTATGAGTTGAAAATGCCTCTGTCGTAAAATTCTAGAGTTTATATCAGACTATGTATTGAAAATTGAGATCACAAATTGAAGATTAGAATTCAATCAATCAAGTAATGTCTCAATCTGAGCCCACTTTGACCTGATAGATCAAATTCCAATCTCAAATATGCAATTTTCAATCTGCAATATGCAAACTTAATGCTTATGACTGTATAGATTATTTAAAAACTATTAAATATTCTTTTAATTTAATTATTAGTTTTTCATTTTTATTCAACATAAATATTGATATAATTTTGTCTATAATTTTGGTATTAGTTATTTTTTAATGCATTATGATAGAATTTATATTTAAAACTTACAGTAAAAAAATCTTCAATCATGTGTCAATAATGCACTTACACTTTTATTTATATTTAAAAATTGTTTGAATATTTATGATAATAATTGAGGCTTATTGCTTAATAAATCAACCTTTTGAAGTCTGTTTATGTTATATACATACACAAATAATGCTTTTCTTCATATAAGATTAAATCTTCTCTGATATCTTTTTAAGTTATAAGATATTTTTAATATGTTTTTTGGAAATATTTTATATTAAGATGGATCTTTATCCATAAGAGAGATAAAAATTATTAAATCTGCGACAGATTTGATAATATAGATTATGTATGAGTTATTATTTTTTTATCAAATGAAGAGATAAAAATGATAATAAATATCTACTTGCCATAAGACTATTGCAATATTAATATAGAACAGTAAGAAGAGAACAGAAGAAGAATATCATTTTTCAGAGTGCGTGTATATAAACATGTTTTTATTATGATGTGAAGAAGAATAAGTAAATTATAAAACTACATTTATATAAATGATAATCAGAAAATCTACAATTTTGTGAGCCAAGTAAGACACAAAGAATTCAAAGTATAATTTACTGAAAGATCTATCGTGTGACTAATTGTATATTTTTTACAGCGGCTATCAATATCAGGCATATAAAGTGCTATTCTTGATAACAGAAGTTGCAGAATAACTTTAAGGCTCAGTTAGTGTTTTACATTGAAAGTTGTTGTCTGAGTGAGCAAAACGAAAAAATGGAAACCAATTTTTTATTCTTATTCGTACATATGTAATAACATGTGGTCATATAGTATATTGCTATACTAAAAAAATCATTAACATTGAAAATATTATTGTAATATGTGCATCTAAAGTAACAAAAATATTGGTTAAAGCAATTTGTGGAAATTATGAAATAATGGACTTTGTGCTTAATGTGTATTTATGCTGAATTAGAATTTTAATGTGCTGCTAAATTTATGTGTTAATTATGTGCTTGTAGATAATAACATCATTATAAGTCACATGATGAATGAATGTAACTAACATTTCTACAATGCTGTGTTTGCTCTCTTCTGCTTTTTTAAATTCAAAGGTTTTAATACTCTATAAGAGAACTGCGTAGTACGTCACTTACATTCTCAGTGTTGCATAATCATATAGTCTAGTTTTATATATACCAATATACATCTGAAAGACTAAATTTATTGTATATTTCTTATATCATACACAGGAGGATTATTTTTAGTAATATGTGTTTATTGTTACTATTAGTTATTACGAATTATTTTTAGTATCTTGATAAAAAGAGATATTTAAAGTAGGACAAAGGTGCACAGCATTAATGATTTTAGAAAATAACGATATCAATTTACTAAACCGAATAGTTATTGAATCATAGTATATCGTGAAAAACACTGGAGAATTGAAAGGCAGAGGCATGGTTTTCTCATTGTTCAATACTATCCTTCGTCTGAACTTTTCCTGGCTGTCGGAGACTCTGGCTCTGTTGAGCAGTTGGGGAAGTTTCTCTGGGTATATCTGTTGTTTTCGCCCAGCTACAGCGCAGCTTATTATCCGGCAGAGGGGTGTAGCAACAGAGCTGACCAAAGCCATCCCTGCGGTGATCTTGGACAGCTTGGAGAGCTTCGAGAGTGCCATCATGAACATGCACTTGCCACCAGGGGACAACCTATCTACCACGCTATGGTCTCCCCAGTTCTCCCAGGCGCTATCAATGTTCTGGTCTGCTTTGCAGTCGGGACAGGCGAGCCCTGTCATCCATCAATTTGGCTTGGGACCGGATGCCGTCAATGCCGCAGCCACTGGAAACATCGAAGAATTTGTCAGCGCTCTGGAGTCCGAAGCGAAGAGCGGTCAGGGACAACAAGCGCAACAGGGACAAGACGACAAGAGCAAGAAGCAATCATCATCAGCCACTAGTCCTGATAAGAAGGATGATGACGATGAAGGCATGGCTTTAGATTAAAGATGGAATTTGTACGCCTTTTTGATTTCAAATTTTTTTTTTCTATTTAGTAATCACGCAATGCATCTTATGTTATAATGATCTGCATATAATAAAAATGTTTTCAACAGATGTACTCTTCTCCGATATAATTTAGATAAATTTCAATAACATGCTTTTCAAGTGTGTTTATAAAAATTTATATATAATCCTATATTTATAGATATTAACAAACTTGTTGAGATTGACAAACATGTTGAATAGAAACGGGATATTTAATACCATTTATTAAAATTGCACACACATGTATGGAAATTGGTATATTAAACAATTTTGTATATCGTATATATTGGATTTATTGAACTATGGATATTTAAATAAAATTGAAACTTTCTTACACAATTTATAGGATATAGAATATTTGTCACATATATGTGTGTACGCGTTTAGTGTATTCAAATAAATTTTAAGCAATTGTTCGTGTTATTCAACAGAAAAAATTTTTTTTAGAGATATTGTTTTATTATATATTCTTAATTGTTACAATAGTCAACAATAGAATCGCAATTAAACATAGAATTTAAGTAATAAGAAAACAGAATGAAGAAAAAATACAGTCTAATCGAGCACTTTTGTTTGCGACGCACAAGCGTGTTATTGGTCCTTCACGATAATCGATATATAGTATCAACTGTCCGTTTTATTAATTTCCTGACTGAATTAAATTAAAACAAAAATTGGGTATATTTATAGGTTATTGTATCATCAAATTTTTATTAATAACCAAATTGTATTTAACATAATTATTCACATTAATTGTTTTAGGGGAAAGATTAGGTTAAAAGAGCAATAATGGCTGGATAGATGCCGTGAAGTGTGTTGTCAGGTGTTTACATAGTTGATTCGCAGAAGTATCCTATTGGCTGTTTGATCATGACATCATTCAGGTATGGCTAAAAATCCTAATGTTTGGGTACTTCTGATAGGGTCTTTTTTACCAGATATTTAATAATAGAGTGATAAATTTACATATATAATATAGATACGAACAGTACGAAATACTAAAAAAAATTGTGAATTTTAACTAAGATACATATGATACTGTATGACAATAAGAATGCACAATTAAAATGCACATCCCAGTGCTGCCATCAAATCGTTGCCAGTCGGAGCAACCGTGTGCGGCTGTTCGGTAATCAGTCGAACGTTTGTTTGTAAACAAGCACGTAGGACCCGGGCGTGTATTATCATTTGCGTCGACCCTGAGAGCGGTTGCAGCTGCGCGTCACCGCGTGAATCGAACAAGTAGTGGGGGACTCCCTCGCGAAACGCTGATCGCCGAATGCGCCTCGGCGAAATTCCGCTGAAAAAGCCGCGGTGAGTAACGCGTAAGATCGGACGTGAGCGAGCCCTGTTTCCTGTTTGCAAGTGCATCCGATCGGCCGTTGCAGCGAGCCGCGACGCGCCGCAACCAGTGTCATCGTGAAATAAGCTCCAGGTATCACGATAATGCCATTGTTGTGATAGCGGTACCGCGGCGGCGGTGCTAAACGGTAGGCGGGAGGGAGCAAGCGGGTAGGCAGCCAAGCGGGCAAGCAAGCAGGCAGGCAGTCAGGCAGGCTTAGACCGGTGGTAACAGTGGCGTGGGGAGGAAGCGAGGAACAGCGAGATTGTATGAGAGAGCGCAATACCCGCGCGCGCACCCTACGTACGTGTGCACAATGGCAACCTTGACACTTGGTGATCGTTTTTGGCGGCTGAGCGCCACGGAGATCGCGCGTCTGGCGGCATCGCGTCGCGAGTGAAAGCGACAACAGCGGGCGCACTTCGAACAGCAGCAGCCAGGAACGGACGGTAGAGAAGAAGGCGAGCAGTGTCGAGAGACTCGGGAGAGTGTCGCGTACGTGGACGCCAACATCGGCATTCGGCTTGTAATCGGGAGTTCGACATGTCGCACGCTCGCGAGTTTGTTTTCGGTGTGGAGTAGCGCGACTCTTTGTTTTGATCCGGGGCCGATCGTCTGCGAGCGTGGCCGCCAAGTAGTCGCGTCGCGCATACGGCGTTTCGGCATTTTTTCGACACGCTGTTCGAGAAAACGCGGTCGCGGCGACCATCACGCGAGCGAAGGATCGAATTAAAGGTTAGACGAGTGACAAGTGTCATCGGTCGTTCAGTAGACTGTATGAATCATCGTTCTTCCACTCTCTCATCGTCGTCGTCTTCGTCGTCGTGATGACGCGCGTACAAACTGAAAAACGATAAACCGTAAGGCTGCTGTACGGTGGCGAGCTCGTTTATTAAACACAATCCAGCGAGTCCGTTTACGATATTTGATGAACAAATTTTATTACAAGTTTTATTTCTTGACAAATTACATAGTAATTTATAATATCTTTAGTTAAATTTTAATTAATTAATTAGATGTATACTTTTTATCAGACTATATATTTTTAATATATTTGATACATTTTATGTAAAAATATTTAAAAATTACAGACAGTTATAAAGTAATTTTATACGAATTTCAAACGTGTTATAAGCATCTAGCAGTTTAGCTTTGAAAAAATGTCGAGATCGTGTAACGCGCACACACACATACACACACGCACAAACGCACACACTTCAGATTCAACAACACTAGACAATTTAAAGGTTTGATAAGCGAGCACATTTTTGCGGTTTATCACTTATCGGTTGCCAAAACGTGTGTGGTAAAACGTCTCTTGCACAAGTATCGCGCGACCGATCGGACGACCTAATTTCTTTTTTCATCGTACTCGTAGTGCGACGGAAACAAACATACAGACGCGTATGGGGTATACTTAGGCGTCCACGAGAACGCCTTTGAATGCGTGCGCACGTTGGACGCACGCGGAAGTCTCGGTTCTTTTTCCACATTCGGCGACGTACCGATGACGCTTCAAGCATTACGTACACATAAATTGATCTGAAGGGAAATAATTCAATTTCGAAGCATCAATAAATATTATCACGTAATATTATTTTATTTTATATTTATTTTACATGGTAAATGCGTATTTTTTTATAATGCAATCTTTTTGCGTTAATAACGATGAAAATGAAATTACATTTTTTTGTGTAACTATATTATTAAAGCCGGAATAAATAATCCTGCTATTACTCTTTGAATAAATTAATTTGATAATAAGAAATATTTTAAACGGTTATTTATTTGAAATAATTGAACTTGTGAATTTATTATATATAAATTTTATTTTATTTTTTAAAATAAATATTTTCCTTTGGCTCATTTATGAACATCGCGATTGACAACGACGAAGACGAGATTTCGATGCGAGAAAAGCATTTCGTTTTATTAACCATCTTGGATTTTCAACATTAGAAAGTAGAATTTGGTCTATCGTGAGAAATCATTGGATTTCTAGATCCAACTGAATTAATTATATAAATAACTGAGAATTTCATAATCAAAATATTTCGGAGTTAGCTTAACATTGTCCGCAAATTTACATTTAAATTATATGTTATATTGCAGTGTATAATATTGCATTATGTGTGCCCAATGGTACGTTAAGTATATATTGATTATATGCTCGCAGTAACATGATGCAATCGGACATGGAACGTTTTATTTAACACAAAAATAGCTACAATTTTTTTTCTACAAAACTTTGACATTCTCCGTAATTAGCTCATTGTTATTTTACATAAAACATGTATCATAATAATATATTCCAAAACACGGAGTTCAAATGAAATTTGTCACACGATAAATTTCTCAAATGAAAAAAGTGTGTCGAATGATTCGCGTAAGCCGGAAGTATAGACAGAGAAGTGCTTAACTTATGTCCGATAATGTATGGATTATTGATAGTTTCTCTTGGCTTTTGTCTTCTCATCTGCAGTGATATGCGCGAACGTTCGCATAAACGAATGGCAAACTAGAAATAGCGTTGAGAAATATTACGCCATCGGTTGACATTTGATGACTGCCTTACATCAAGCATATTTTATTTCATATGTGGGTACACACGTGTTTCTGCGAATATCTTTTGTCTTAAAAATGAATACTTTTGCGAAAAGGGACAAGGGATTATATCTTGCGTGTTACATGGGAAAAAATTATCTTATCTATTAGGACCTTGAATAAGTTCTCGCTGTTTTTTTAGTTAAAAAAAAACATTAATTTAAAATATAAGGCTTACAATAACTTTACTCAAAGTATTGTCCATCATTAGAGACCACTTTCTCCCATCTTTCTGGCAGTAATTGAATCCCCCGTCGAAAAAACGATTCATCTTTTGACGCAATCCATGAATCGATCCATTTTTCGGTTTCTTCGAAAGAATGGAAGCGCTGCTCGCTCAAACCATGCGCCATCGACCGAAACAAGTGGTAATCCGAGGGGGCTATGTCCGGTGAATACGGCGGGTGAGGTAGAACTTCCCATTGAAGCGTTTCCAGGTAAGTTTTGACTGGTTTTGCCACATGTGGCCGAGCATTGTCATGTAACAAAATGACTTTGTCGTGTCTCTGCCCGTATAGTGGCCGCTTTTCTTTTAGAGCTCGACTCAAACGCATCATCTGAAGTCGATAGCGAGCTCCCGTGATAGTTTCATTAGGTTTCTTCGTCTTCAAACTTTGTCGGTGCTCCAGAACGTTCTTTATCTTCAAGGTCAAAGTCATTATTTTTAAAGCGCCTAAACCAGTCTCTGCATGTCGTATTCGACAGAGCATTGTCACCATATGTTTCAACAAGAATTCTGTGTGCTTCAGCTGCAGATTTCTTTTGAATAAAGCAGTGCAATAAAATTCCCCGCAAAAACACTTTATTTGGCACAAAAGTAGACATTTTCGCAATAGGTAATTAAACACGTGGTTGACACTGTGGTAAACTGTATCTACTAGAATTTGAGGTTACATATAGTACTACTTAGCTGATGCGTTTCCGTACGAAATTCCATGCACAGAGTGCCGCTACGCCATCTTTTAAGAAACAGCGAGAACTTATTCAAGGACCTAATATTATTATTATCTCTTCGCGATATTGAATAGTAGACAGATGTCCAATCCGATCAAATTGTGCCAAATAAGATAAAATTCAGGGACATTATTACATATTAAATTATTTGAATTCATATTTGTCGTATATGTACTGGCAAAGATATGCGCAAATTTCATTAGGAACAAAGCCGCTCTATTCTGAGGTTTTCTTCAAATCTATATATAAACTAAACAAGTTATATACCTCAGAATTCCACATCATTTTAAAAAAGTATTTATAAATAATTTACTTTCAATCAGAAAAAATTAGAATACTTTTGTTTAAAGAAAGAGTAGCTTTAAGACAGAGAAAGGTGTAACCACTTAAAACCGCTGCCGCCGGCCCGCCATTTCGGATTTTGTGATTAATTTACCGATGTTCATACGTGGCTGTTGTTGCAGAGTTGCGGTCGTGCATATGGACGTTGACATCGAAGCGACGAGGGATGCGATTTCTCGAGTTCGTGAGTGATAACCGCGGCAGCCGTGCTGCCGCGACCACGTAGTTCCGCGTGTACGCACGCGGATAGAACAATACACACGGTGCGTCGTCATTCTGTGCGTGCGTGTGAACAGACTGTCGGGAATACCAATGTAAAGTGAAGAGCAAGCACTGTGAAAGGCTCTCCGTGATCTTTGCATGTCGTAATTCACCTGTCACCCGAGGATACACGCAAAATAAGGTGAGCGCGCGACGCGCTGAACAAGAAGCGTCGTCGTCGAATCAAAACGATAGAATTTAGCTAAAGCTACTTTATGGACTCTCATAGAACGGATGCTCTGTTTTTGCTATTGTGTGCTTTCAATTTCTACGCTTTAATGCTTTATTTGTTTCTATTTTTTTTTTATGTACTGCTTAATCTCTTCTATACTTTTAATGCTTTGTATCAGTTTTCTAATGCTGTGGATTGCTTCAGTAATTACTAAAATTTTATTATATTGTTCTTACACACGCAATACTCAGTTCAGTATGTTTGATGAATTTATTATCAAATACAATTAGCTGTATTTTTACCGCATATTTAACGTTATACTATGTTAAATAAGCGTTGAGAATACAAAATAAGAATTTTCAAAAATGCATCGAGAATGATACAAAATAATAACGAGATTTTTGTGCGAAAAAAATATTTTATGTATATACATTTATGGTTTGTAGTAGGAAAATACATAGAAACTGTTTGGTGTGTTTCAACTTCCATGCATTATGATTTTATTATCGCGAGCGTCGCACTTCAACACGTCCATCTTGCTAATCTTGCACGATGTTAATCGTGAAGTAAATTTGTTCAAGTGAAACTGCGAGCATACGAGTTCTTATTTTCTAATGATTATTTTTTGCACGAGATATAAAGATTTCTTAATAGTTCGATTTAAGACGCATAAGCGTACGAAAGAGAAAAAGATATTGATAGTATGAATTTGAAGGAAACATACGTCCGCAAGGACGATAGCGATGCACAGGGCGGACAAAGAATAAAGGGAGTGAAACGCGTACGGATGAAATGGAAGGAAACGGGAGAGAGGAGGTGGGCGAAAGAAAGGAGAGGCAGAACTACTCGACAAACTTGAGAAACGAGAATTGCACCGGTCTGCCGAACTTCTCGTAGCTTGTTTGGACGATATTTTGCGTCTTTCCTTTTATGCATTCTACTGTTAATGGCACGGAAACATCTCAACATAGTACAATCTTTTAACTACTTGATATTATGCTATATTACATTGGTGACTACAATGAAATGAACTTCATGAATTTTTATTTACAACTTTGTCTTTTAATTATGTAGATAAAAAATATAGTATTCAACAAACGTATGTTAATAAGCATCATCCATTCAGTTAAAACAGTGGTTCTGTGCAAATCAAATGCGTTTCACAAAAAAATTAAAAAAAGAATTAATACTAATCGAGGTGATGAATATTGCAAATGCGGTCAATTATGAATTCTGAATAATTATTTATTTCCTGCAATTTCTTGCAAAGTTTTTTAACATGTATTTATTCGAAGAAGCACTTGTCGGTTATATACATACTTTTACATGCTTCCGTAAGTACAGTCATCTTGTTTATTTTAATTATCATTGCAAAAATTTTCTAAATGTTCTGTTCTTTCGAGGAATTCTATATGTAATCGTAATTTTTTTTTAATAACCACATTATTTAAAAAACTTAAACAAAAAATAAAAATAAATAATGGGTTTATTTTGATAATATTTGATACAAAATTGTTTAATTTTTTAATTAATAATTTATTATCAAGCGAATTTGTGATACATTACAAATGTATTCTTGTTTAACAAGTATGCGTACATTTTTTATAATTTAGTTCTTTATGCGTAGTCTTATTCAACGGGTTTTATAGTTATAAACCTCGAAAGAATAAATGCCACCAGAAAAGTACCCGCTACAAAACAAATGACAAAAATATACCAAGTTTCTTCGTCAAACACGTCGGTAAATGCTGGAACCTGACTATAAAGCACATCAATAAGCCTTAAATTATAATCTTTACTATTTCCCATCTGACTCGCCATTTTTTAAAATTATCTTCGGTTGCGTAGGTTTAAGACTAATACAACACTATCAGTAATTTCTTACGATTGCGCAGCTTATGGCTACGATTAAATATTTAAACTGTAGTACTAGATTATGAAGTTAATACAAATCGAAGTACCTTTCGATTTTTAGCAAGATTTTGTTGCGAAAAACCCTGTAAGAATGTAAGCAGTAATTGTTTATTCGGTCATTATCACTTTCTACAAAATTCAAACAAGCTTTAAACAAATTTGCATGAAATATTTATGCCATAAATGAGTAACAAAACTTTTCTGAATTAACAGTTACAGTTCACTAAATTACTATATATTTTGCAATATATGTCAAAGGACAAAAATCTTCTGTGTGATATATCAAAAAGGTATCTAGAAACATTCGTTTTATTTAAATACATAAAAATGAAAAATGTCTACATCGTGATAATTGATTTGTTACCAGTCACAAGTTGCCAATGTATTACAATAAAAATGGTCTGCGTTTTCTTCCTTCTTTTATTTTATAATGCGGTCGTTTTCGCTTTCTCCTTTTTTCCTCGAGTTCTTTTTTAGCTTCAATTGCAGCTGGATCAGGTGGAATTAATCTAGTGATGTGTTGATTATAAAGTTCCAAAATGTTCAGGGTCGTCAAAAGAGCCGTTTTTAATACTATTTTTTCACCTGCCTCTGAAAATTAAACAATCGAGTGATCTATTTACTACTTATATTTGCATATAATCGCGAAAGAAAAGACGAAAACAAAGATCCAGATGAATGATTCAAATAAATAGCCGTAGGTTTATGATTAATTTCACAGAAAAAAGATTTTTGATTAATATACACAACTTGTTAGATGAGTGAGAAGATTGTTATGAAACATAATTGATTATTCTACACATTTTTTTAATATGAATGCTTATATGAATGAATTGCGATAACGACACGTTCTAAAACATGAATGAAAATTATTAAACAAATAATACTTACGAAGGTTGAACGTAACAGTTGGTTCAGAGCGATCGCACACGATCTCCGTTTTTATCGAACAGTACGGATTTGTTGCACTAATTTTCGAAGAGGTAATGTACTGTAGAAAATTTCTGCAAGTAAAAAACATTGTGCATGTTATGTTTATGTATCATCTGAGGTGGATGTCTGTACATTCTCTTTAAAATTATAGAACCTAAATTGTTTATTGCTTAAATCTATTCCTTCTTTGATAATTTTGTTACAGTTCTCACAATACTTTATAATAGAACATGATTTTCATTTGCCAATTTTATTTCCATGTCCATGTGTTATTCCTCAATGTTTGTCATTTCCTTTCACAGGCAAAATGGCACAAATGGAACAGCAATTACCGATTCCAATGCCAGATTTAAGTACTCTTCGTATAACTACAGCCGTCTCCATGCTTGGCAAAGCATATGGATGTGGCCAATGTAATGGTGAGTTTATTTTGTTTAAACAATTAGAAATAAGGAATATAAGAAATATTATAGCCCAGAAAATATTTGTCTGTGTACTTATCCTTAATACCTTTCTAATTATATACAACAAAAAGAAAAATTAAGTATAGATGATTAGCTTCTTCACGTTGAAACATTTTTGCATTCATAGAAATATCTAGGCCAATCATTTAAAAACATGTTCATAATCTAAATCACAAATGTCTTTTATATATCTCAGAACACTTTATTTATAAATTAAATTTTTATCACTGTTATTAAAAATATAATCAAATGGTCGCATTAAGAAGTTTTTTATAAATAAACGAGTTATTCAAAGTGGTGCGAGCACTGTGCACAGACAGATTTGGTAATTAACGACAGGAGAGTGAAAGAAAAAGGTGTTCTTATCTAATAATTCAATATTAAAGCGAGGGAGGTGGACGACTCATGTCGCAAACGGTATCGAACGCGACCGCGATTGTGTACAAACGTCAAAATCGTACAATATTTCACAATCACGAAGGGGCGGATGAAAAGAGTTTTCTCCTTCTTTACTTCTCTTATGCACTGTGATACACGTCTTACAAGAGTTATCTTGGAAAGATGGAGCAGGGACAGCTTAAGAATTTTCCGCGACTAGAATCCTTTTCCGACTGCAATAACACACGATTCGAGACTCTTCTATAAATAAGAGCTGCGCATCGTCTGCTAGCTAGTGCGAGGGGTGCAAGTTGCGCGTGCGTGTATTATCGACGTCATTGCTACTCAACCTGACCTGACCTGACCATCCGTGATAGTTAATCATTATATATCCGTCTTAAAACCTTTCAGGACAAATTTCATTCGAAACGTGTACATTCAATTCATATTTCGTCATATAGGCAACGCGATTTGAATAAATAAAATATTAATATTTCGAAAAATCAATGTACGATCCAATTGTATTATTCCCAATTTTTTTGTATTTATCTTTAGGAATTTTATTCAAGAAAATTTTCACGTGTAGTATAAAGAAATTACAAAATTATGTGACTAAAGTTTCGTATAAAAATTCCTTTATTGTAACTTTTTATAAAAATTGCATAATTTTACGTAACTTTTTCTAAAGATTTAGAAAAATAAGTATGATTTTGATGAATATCGCATATATTTGACAAAAATACATAATGCTTTCAAAGAATCGATAACGTTTTACGATATTCTCATTTGATTGTTCCCGCGACATCGTAATGTTGCTGCGCGACAAGTGCAGAGGACCATAGAAGACTAACCTCGTATCGATGACATGTTCATGGAACGGGTCGAAACGAATATTGATCTTTTTGACTGGTTTTAGATCAACGCGTTTCAACTGTTTTAAGATCGCGCTATAAACGCCACCGGGGGCACGCGTGAGAGTTCCGCTGAAGGGAATCGACATTTTCAGTGATGATGCAAGCACTCAATCGTACACGATGCACGTATCACTCGCAGTATCTGTCGGAAGTTGCTGCACCAATGTTGCCATCTGGCCAATTTTTTCGAAGGTTGGCAGCAGTTCGTACTGCACGCTGAGTTATAGAAAAGAACTACATTTAGAGTTTTTATAGAGCATTATCATCGACAAATATCTACTTTTGACGCGAAAAAAGTTTAACGTTAAAAAATTTTGTACATTGCTTGCGAAAGCTTGTGCAATCAATAAGAATTCATCAGAATAATTTGAATACTTTTCATATCCCGCGTATAATAACCTGCGAACGAGACGCACCCTGGTTGTGACTGGCGCGAAAAATTCTCAACCGTGATCGCAGTCTGTCGCGAGTGCGGCCAATGGGCGCCGCGCTAGCGGACGCCATTGCGGAGGACGGTCTCGTTTGGTGGTGGTGTCGTTCGCAGTGCGTGTTGTGGGGAAGCGTGTAGTGGCCAGTGGGGTCTTGTGTTGACTTTTTTACTTATTTATTAGTGGTTATCTGGTCTTTTACACTCGGCGACAGCGAAAATGTACCCCGCAGGACAACGTGAGTGTCATTGGATTGTTGTACCCACCCGAGGGGATTGCGAAAACCCCCGTAAACAAGCTGAACATGTCGCTGACGTTCGCAACGAACGAGCTCACGAGCTCGTAAAGCTCGCGAGTTCGTTCGATTGTTCGACATTTGGAATGACCCTCGGATGTTTCTTTTAACACCTTGTGGTCTATCAACCGTGTTTAAAACTTGACGAGGATGTCGCGACGTCCGTGCGTGATTCTCCGCGGAAGATTCATTGAATGACCTCGGATGAACCTCGTTCAACAGGCACGCGTGTCGTCATTCATCCGCAATCCGATAGTCAACGCGTTAGCTAATCCTGATCTAGCAACTGACCATCCCTTTTTCGATTATCCGTCATAGAAAGAATTATGTCAAAATGTAATAACTCTTAGTAGGAAACTTTGACTAATGACTTTTTAACTAATTAAAAAGATAATTATTTTTGGTTGTAATTGGCTTTCAGATTTATATTCAAATATATATTTAAATATATATTATAGGTGAAATATTTATTTTGAAATAAGCTAGCTGTCTATCATACATTTTTAACATGAGTAATTCTGTTTCAAGCTAAACAATGTGTTTATCGAAAGCAGTTTTTTAAGCGTTTATATGTTGAAACAATTTAGGAAAATATAGTATGTATGCTTCAAAAACTATGAAATTAACATCATAAAATGCTTGTGACATTTTAATATTAATGCATAATCTGTTTTTCATTATTTATAAATTAAGCTTATTTCAAGTTGGAGATAAAGCCATATTTTTTTTATGTTCGCAAAATTATTGTATTTTTTTATAAATTATATATTTTACAAGTACACAAATATAGATTGGGAATATACTCTTTGGGAATATAACTCTTTGCAAGTTGTAGATGTTAAAAATTATACATTAGCGGAAAGATTTAAATCTGAGTATGTCAAAAAACATTTACATATTTGATAATCTATATTTGATTATTTGTGCTATATTGGAATCTGTATATCATTTGTTTAAAATAGAAAAATGATATTAAAAATATATTTTATTATTTATTCTTTGAAATATATACAGATGTTTTTCTGCATTATGTTTATAATCAGTGGTGTTATATGTAAAAAAAGAAGTGTAAGATACTGTAATCTGTTGTTTAACTTTGGCTTAAAATTCTTCTTAAGCATTAATACTCGACTTCAAATAATTGCTTCACACATTTTACTCAACTTACTCTGGATAATATTATGTACAGAAATTGGTTATACAATCTAATTATAGTAATTTACATTCTAAAGTACTTAGAAAGAAATAAAAGATGACAAATTCAAACATTTTATTATGTAATATTATTTGTAATACTTTGTAAATAGACAAAATTTGTAAAATTTTTGATTTTTTATGAAATATTTTATATTGTTTCATTTTTTACAGCCCCCCCACCTGGACCCTCAACAAGTGGTGGTTCTGTTGGAACTGCGGGAGTTGCGGCAAGTAGTGTTGCAGCTCCCAGCAACATGGGGCTTGTTCCAGCACAACAGGCACACACTCCTCCTCAACCTGCAGAACTGCCAAGTAATTTCATTTTATAATTCTATGTTTTATTGAATTACAAGTCTGATGAAAAATTGGCTCTATGTAAATAATTTAATATTGTTTTCAGTGTTTACATGCCCTCGAAGACCAAACATAGGACGAGAAGGTAGACCGATCGGTTTGAGAGCTAACCACTTCCAAATTAGTATGCCACGTGGTTATGTACACCACTATGACATCAGCATACAACCTGATAAATGTCCTCGGAAAGTTAATAGAGAAATTGTAGAAACAATGGTTCATGCTTATACTAAAATATTTCAATCTCGTAAGCCTGTGTTTGATGGCAGAAATAACTTGTACACAAGGGACCCCTTGCCTATTGGGCATGACAAAGTAGAATTAGAGGTAAATTATCATTTTGCACTGCTGTTTGTAAATGTATGATTTCGAACTAATATTATAATTGTCTTTACAGGTTACACTGCCTGGTGAGGGTAAAGACAGAGTTTTTCGAGTGGTCATCAAATGGTTGGCGCAGGTTTCATTATTTGCTTTAGAAGAAGCTCTCGAAGGACGAACTAGACAAATTCCATATGATGCTGTTCTTGCTTTAGACGTTGTAATGAGGCATTTACCATCGATGACATATACTCCAGTAGGTAGATCGTTCTTTAGTACACCAGAAGGGTACTATCATCCACTAGGTGGAGGTAGAGAAGTGTGGTTTGGTTTCCATCAATCAGTGAGACCATCGCAATGGAAAATGATGTTAAATATTGATGGTAAGTGGAAGATAAATTTTCAACTCGAACTATGATTTACGACTTGTTACTTATCTGTCTTTATTTTAGTTTCTGCCACTGCCTTCTACAAAGCGCAGCCGGTTATAGAATTCATGTGTGAAGTATTAGATATCCGAGATATCAATGAACAAAGAAAACCACTCACGGATTCTCAGAGAGTAAAATTTACCAAAGAAATCAAGGGTCTCAAGATCGAAATAACTCACTGTGGAGCTATGAAGCGAAAATACAGAGTGTGCAATGTTACACGTAAACCAGCTCAAATGCAATCGTAAGTATATATTAAAAGGATGATATAGTTAGAATAAAACATAATCGAAGATATAAATACATTATTTATCATGAATTATAGATTTCCATTGCAACTGGAAAATGGACAAACGGTCGAATGTACAGTTGCCAAATATTTCTTAGATAAGTACAAAATGAAGTTGCGCCATCCACATCTTCCTTGCTTACAAGTTGGTCAAGAACATAAACACACGTATTTGCCGCTTGAGGTTTGTATACAAAATTTTTAATTAATGTATTTTTTCTTTGTTGAAAAATAAAATTACACAATTATATGATTTTAGGTTTGCAATATCGTCGCTGGACAACGTTGCATTAAAAAGTTGACTGACATGCAGACTTCGACTATGATCAAAGCGACAGCACGTTCCGCGCCAGACCGTGAACGAGAGATTAACAATTTAGTCAGAAGGGCTGATTTTAACAATGACTCTTACGTACAAGAATTTGGATTGACTATATCGAATAGTATGATGGAAGTCAGGGGTCGTGTCTTACCTCCGCCCAAACTACAGTACGGAGGGCGCGTAAGTTCCCTCAGTGGACAGGTGAGAAACTTCCAACTAAATCAGTCAGGTCTAGCCAAATCACACATTTGCAGAGGCTAATCATTTTGATTATTCTTTAGCAGGCATAAGTTTATAGCACCGGATGTTCCATAAATCATTTATTACATTTTCCTTATAGAATCTGTAAAGCTGTAAAGGTTATAAGATATTTTTATGCTAATCGCTATTCTCCTGATTTTGGCGTATTTAATTGTTACTTTTCATCTTTGGAATATAATAGCCTTTACACTTCATAATTTATGTCGCGTGTATTATAGTTAACGTCTGTTTAGTAATAAGATATTTGACATATATCTCTACACATGTGGCCATAAGTTGTCAAATGAATGCATGGGTTCTAGACCTGGTTGATTTGATATCTGGGCTGTTAGTGTAACGAATATTCAAATTATCCTAAGAAATTATTGTAAATGATAAAAGTGATGAATACAATTTTTCTCTTTTGTAGTAGAGAATTGTAATCCACGGTTTACAAATGTAACACTAATGTTACATTTGCAGTCCGATATCACTTGCGAAAGTCTGATGCTATCAGTACCTGTTCTATGCAGCATAGTAATAACATTTTTAATTATCTCTTTTTACTAGATTTTGAGTTACACATTTATTTATATTGTCTAGTGAATCAACAATTGCATTAAATGAAATAAGAGAGAAAAATATGTTTGCATATGGAAAGACTGATGTATCAGCTGCAATAATTACATATTATTTAAGCAATTCGTTTAAACACTCAATAACGCATACATTTCCCTAAAGACAAAGCAACAGGCGATGCCTAATCAAGGTGTATGGGATATGCGTGGTAAGCAGTTCTTTACGGGAGTGGAAATTAGAGTGTGGGCTATTGCTTGTTTTGCGCCGCAAAGAACTGTGCGTGAAGACGCATTACGTTCATTTACGACGCAACTCCAGAAAATTAGTAATGACGCTGGTATGCCCATTATTGGACAGCCATGCTTCTGTAAATATGCCACTGGACCAGATCAAGTCGAACCTATGTTCAGATACTTGAAATCAACTTTCTCGCAATTGCAATTAGTTTGCGTTGTATTACCAGGAAAAACTCCTGTATATGGTAATTATACATAAATGTTCATATCTGAAAAGGAATATAGAATATTTAGAATTATATAATACATTTTAAAGCAAATTTATTCACTTTTGATTTTCGAGTAGCTAATTTTGTGCAATTTCCACGAACGTGTTAAAGCCAGTTTTTTTGCCTTTTTTAGCTGAAGTGAAAAGAGTAGGAGATACATTATTGGGTATGGCAACTCAGTGTGTACAAGCGAAGAATGTCAATAAGACATCACCGCAAACATTATCCAATCTCTGTCTTAAAATAAATGTCAAATTAGGAGGAATCAATAGCATTCTAGTACCTAGCATAAGACCGAAAGTATTTAACGAACCAGTTATATTTCTTGGAGCTGATGTGACTCATCCGCCAGCAGGAGATAACAAAAAACCTAGCATAGCCGCTGTAGTAGGTAGTATGGATGCTCATCCATCTCGATACGCGGCAACTGTGAGGGTTCAGCAACATAGGCAGGAAATTATTCAGGAGCTCAGTTCGATGGTTAGGTAAGTAATGTAATTTCAATATAAAGTTTTTAATTATATACAAAATTTTATGATAAAACTTTGATAAATCTTTGTGCTTTGTAAGATTCAATAGATTAATTGTGGCAATAAAATAAATACGATGTCGGAATTCTCGGATAAATTTTTGATATGAATGTTATTATAAAATTATTAAAAATTAATTGCTTTATAAATAGATTGCAAAGTCGTTAAAAAATAATCATGAAAAATATCGTATTCACTTTAGCTTTTACTATAGTTCTGCTTATTTCTATTTATTTTATTTTATATAAAAGTCATTTCTAACAATGCTTTTTTCTTTTAAGGGAATTGCTGATAATGTTTTACAAGAGTACGGGTGGATATAAGCCACATAGAATAATTCTGTACCGTGACGGTGTCTCCGAAGGCCAGTTTCTTACGGTTTTGCAACACGAATTAACTGCCATTCGTGAGGCGTGCCTCAAGCTCGAGATCGACTACAGACCCGGCATTACGTTTATCGTAGTGCAAAAGAGACATCACACACGTTTGTTCTGCGCGGACAAAAAGGAACAAAGTGGAAAAAGTGGAAATATCCCGGCAGGCACAACTGTCGACGTGTGCATAACTCATCCGACAGAATTTGACTTTTACTTGTGCAGTCATCAGGGTATCCAGGTAAGTTTATCAATTTTTCATAAGAACATACTTGTCAGATGTTATAAATATTTGCTTCCATTTATTTTAGGGCACATCACGACCGTCGCATTATCATGTTCTTTGGGATGATAATCACTTTGAAAGTGACGAATTACAATGTCTCACGTACCAATTGTGTCACACTTATGTCAGGTGTACAAGATCCGTCAGTATACCAGCACCGGCGTATTATGCTCATCTGGTAGCATTCCGGGCAAGATATCATTTGGTCGAGAAAGAGCATGATAGGTGAGTTGAGTTCTTATCATTTGTCGTAATCGATGCAATGGAGCAGATTGCATAATATATATAATCTAATTATACGCACGATATTTATCGTATACAATTTTAATATTACAGTGGGGAAGGATCTCATCAGTCAGGTTGTAGCGAGGACAGGACACCGGGAGCAATGGCACGGGCGATCACGGTTCACGCCGACACGAAACGAGTCATGTATTTCGCATAATTTCTTTCCTGCGTCGCCAACTGGATTATCGTATTATTAGCGTCAGAAAACAGATTGCATGCAATTGCGGCACAGTGACGGGTGCGAGAAGTTTCATCGAGCAGCCCGGATCAATGGCAGCCGCGATCGAAACGCGTCGCGTTCCAAGTTCTGCGACTACTTAACAGTTAGGGCAATTTTCTTCAATGATAAATTTGCGCGCGTAGAGTCGAATGTCTATATAGTGAATTTTTCTTGAACAATATTTGTATTATAAACTTCCTCCTCGAGATCTATTCTTACTCATATGCGAATATACATAAAATATAAATGTCATATTGACTTATGACATTCATATTCTATATATACTCACATAACTACGCGATGGAAAATTGATTACGTAATGAGAGAATAGCGCAGGAGAAGTTTATTTTACGTTCAAATAGTTTATAATACAGTTAAATGCATAATATAGTTCACAATATGAACATTCGACTGTATTTTTTTCTTCCCCGCTTTTATTTTTTTTTTTTTTTTCTTTATTCTTAATCAAGTCTGTACACAATAGCTTTTTAATGTGTATGTGTGACATTATACGTTATATTCACATTTGTACAGTAAGGATAAGTTTTCGATTGATTTTCTTTGTATAAAATAAGTTTTTACGAGAGGTGCTTTTAGTTAATACTGTTTATAGATCGGATGAAAAATATTTTGCACTAATGGGAAAAGTCGTCTGCGATCGAAATAAACGAAAGATAAGTTTTATCTTTTTCTTTATGAAATTTAGGCTAGATTGAATCATAGAGAGGATTGTCACCTCTCCCAAATTAATGAGTTTCAAATATGAAGTTCAGTTATATCGAAGTACAGGAGTACTTTTTAACTAAATAAATTTACAATGAAATCTTAATTTTTCCAGGGGACGAATTTTCCCTAGCATTTGTGTGCAAAAGAATTTGATTAGAGAAAAAACCAAAATCACACAAAGTCATAATTATATAAATCGCTGTTTGCGAGACTGTTATCTTGTTGCATGTGTATAGTTCATTTCGCGAGGAGTGAAACTCCATCCTGTAAATTCTGTAAATTTTAGATCTCTAAACGTGCTGCAGAGACATAGAAAACGATAGATTATCGGTAGATGATGAGATGCCTTTAAAGGTCGTAAATCACATCGCGTCGCATCTTCTGAATTACAATACCACTATCTTTTATACGACACAGTTTTAATCAGTCTAAATCTCGCAAAATCATTTTAAAATAATCTTGAAGTATTCTTGAAAAATCGATAAAGCAACACCAATTCGTGTGTATACTTCGACTAAGAAGTATAGTTGATAAGAACGGATATAATCTTCGTAAAGACAGTTATGTAGTAGAATTAGTCGAGGAGTGTTATGTAGAGCACGCATGCTATTTATATGACTTTGTCATAATTTGATGGCTAGCGTTCATTTGAGAGGAATATTATCGAGAGTCATTCTCGATATACATATTTGATTAATCAATTGCATGTATGACTCACTAAAAAAATACTGCAGAAAGATACTTTCCTACTTACTCTTACTCTCTTTACTTCCAAGCATTACTCTCAAACTGGACACTAAGCTATAAGGATCCAAATCCGGTATAGTTTAATCGTTACTTTGATGTTACTAATCGTTAAAATGTACATTTTATTCGTCTCACTTTAATTTCTATTAAGTCGTTATCATCTGCACGTTGCACACAGCTCATAATCTATGCTCGCATTAGCTATTCGTAATGCTATTAATGATGCTATATAAACTAGAATACAATTCTAATGATACAACTTTATCTGTGTTAAATGCGCATGATATAAAAATGTAGGGGATGAAAGTAAACGCGGATATCCATGTTTAGTGTCCGAGATAAGAGAGAAGCCGGGGTATTTATCTATTCAAATAAAAGATGGCTATGAATAAGTCGAATTTATATGGCATTAGATATGGGCCTCGTCAATGCAGTGCATGATGCTTCGGGGAAAAAAGAAAAAAAAAACAAATCGGATACCACATCGATGTAATGCGAAATTATGCAAACACATGTATTAGCTGTAGGATCAATTATGCTTTAAGAATGAATTAAAATCCAGGATTATGATTAGTTATAAGAGTATTATAAGAGTAAAGCCTTTAATTAGTTGTCAGAGAGTAAGCTGTTAATTGTAAGAGAGTAGCTATGTTTTACTTGATAATGCCAAATTTTAGAGGTTTCGTATTTTTATTGTAATGATGACGATTCTTGTGCAAATCTATTTCAATGGATCTTTTGGAACAATAATACAATAACGCATACAAATAAGCAAGCCTTGCAAATAACATATATAATCTAGCTTATGTGAATAGGATATTAATAGGGATCCTATTAATGTACGGATAGAAATTCTGTTAATGTATAAGATATAATTACGTATTAACTGTCGCTAAATTATTGTGTATCATTAGAATCATTAATATGTCAAGATTTTGTGAGCGCTTCATAAAAACTGTCAAATTCCTATTGCAATCAATTGTACAATTTCTTCTCAACTGATACAAAAGTGAATATATAACATTGGACAGCTTATGAATCAGTATTAATGACAACAATTTTATTGAGAGAAGATATTTTTTGAAAATTATTTTCTTGAATCACCGATCATGCAAATGCGGAAATGTTCAAATACATTAATGATTCTAATGTTAGGTTTATAATGTTATTATATCGAAAACTATGGAAAGAGGTCCTTAAACCATCAATAATATTTATTCTAGTTGTTAAAGTAAAACATATTAAGTAAAGTTAAGTCCGTATTCTCCTCGACAGAGACAGCTAGACAGTTGATAATGTGTACGTTGAACATTTAAAATTTGCAAGTTTTAAGTGAAGTTTATTTTCGACATCAGAGCGATTGAGTGAGCTAGCGACTTTTATTATGTATAATCTGTTCCGAAACATGTAAGCATAGCCGGGATATAATAGTCATCAAGACAACTTATATATATGATAGCTAAAAGAAAATACACTGAAGAAGTAAGGAGAGTAAAACAAAAAAAAATTATTCGCGTTGTTGAAGATGTGTAGGTATCACACATGTGAATGAGCGACAAGAAAATATATTATGAATCGTCATTTTTCGAGCTGTAACTAAGTGATGTGAAGGACAAATATTATTAGATTATAAGACAAATTATGGACTACCAAATTAGATTTTAAGGCAAATTGTCGACGAATGAGTAGCTGCGATAATATAATCGATGACAGTAATCGAATACCAAAAGGAGCCGAGGCATATCGGTGAACCGCGAGGTTCAATTTGAAATTTTATGTACAATCGAATGCATTAATGGATGAATAATGCAGCATAATGGATGGATTTAACATGTTAAGTATCATGTCTCGCACATTTTTGCTTATAAAACTGCCCGAGGAGTTTTATTTTTTCACATAGTAATACTTAATGTATTAAATTCTGCGATCAAAAATTTCTCTATAATACTTAAAAGGCACATTTTTATTTACTTTTTACATTTTTTATTGATAATATGTTTCAGTTCTTTTAGATTTGTTAAGAATCGGTGAATCATGAAAACATACATGACCTATTAATACATTCGAATATCTATATATAAAGTCCTGTCTAAAAAATCTCGGAATATATTTATAAAAAGAAAAATTCATTCACAAGATCTTAGTCTCGTCCATCTCCTTGAGGACATGAAGGGTGCGTTCCACTTAACGCCCGCAACGCTCCTAGGATCATTTTATCCTTGTTTTTCATCGAAAGTTAAACGAGGATAAAATGATTCTAGGAGCGTTGCGGGCGTTAAGTGGAACGCACCCGAAGTGGTCTCTTGGAAGCGAATAGAGAAATTTTACGAAAATTGAAGAAAATCTTGGAAGTTCTTTTTGTTAACATGTTGAGTATCGTTTACGATTTAGCCTGGATTCCAACTGTGCTCTTAAATTCTAGTAGAAATTTGGATCATCATATACGATTCCAAAGAAACTATTTAGAAGGAGATGGAGGAGAGTAGAACCGTTGGTGAGTTTTTTAAATATATTTTGGGAATTTTTAAATATAGAATAGCACCTCGTATCAGTGCTTTTCCTCGCGTTTTTCCGAGAGCAAAAATTTCATGCGCCGAGTAAACCGAAAATAAAACAAGACTACCCTTACCTGTAAATACATCTCGATCATTTATTCGTAGATATTCATGGAAAAATAAGAATGATACATTTGATAAGCCCTGATTTGATATTAATGAAGTAACGAGGTATTATGGAAAATGTTTTAAATGTTTCACATTTTTTCTTAACTAGAGATTTCTCGATAATTATAAGCTCGATGTTTTTAATGAATATTGAATTAGAAGTCACAGAAGTCACATTGATCGTCACAGCTCCACACTTCAATATTTTTAGTTGTTGAAACTTTCTGTCAAACTTAACAATTCACTGGAAAAATGTTTTCATATTTTTAATCATATTCTTGTTAAAAAAAAGCTCTGCAATTAAGCAGAGATTGGCTTGTAAAAGCCAAAGAAAAATCAACTCTAGATTTATCAGAGAATCTGAAACTGATCATGCATATTAGAATTATGTATATTCAAATCCTGTATAAAAAAGTATGTAAAATAATTAGTGAAAAAAAATATATAATACAGAAGGAACTGAAATAAGCCAGTAAAACATAGAAAAAAGCTATTTAACTTTGTAGCATGCAGCTTAGAAGTTTAAGGGCAAAGATAAGGCAAAATTTAAT